CCCGTTCACCTTCTCAACTGACTTCATCTGCGTGGCGTTATCTGTGTTTATTTGTGAAGCCGGACTGGACACCGTGGAAATTCGACATTGACATTATTAAAACAGCTAAAAGCAATACCACGAGCACGACGATCATCAGAGACGGTACTACTCACTCTCAGCTCTCAGAGTTTCCGGCTTCAGATGCTCACGACTCTATGGCGGAATGCTAATATTTACCATTTCCAAAGCTATGCATTTTCTGGATTCATCAAAAAATTTCTTCATTTCAATCTGATGGTTTGCCTCAAGCTCACCTAGGACAAATACTCCATGTTGACACAGGGGACCCCACCTCGCTTGGCCTGTCTCTGATCTTATACTAATATATGAATTTCTTTATCGGTGCAACCGCAACTAAACTCACTCTATATAACACCCTTACACATAACCCAGCTACTGCGTACTGGTACACATGGCCTATCACACAGTCCAACGTTAACAGGCACTCGCTCCGACAATCGGGTATGGCGCTGTGAGCGGTGTTTCAGCTGAGTGTTATACGAAGAGATCTTAACAGTTGATCGCCAACGAATTCTCTTACATATCTTGCCCACAAGGCAAATACACGAAAGACAATTGTTCTATCAAGGTCTTTCAACACGAACAACAGGTCCAACCCATTCGTACACTGCGTGTGTTCTAGCGTAATAGATAACACTTTACTATAACGCTTTTTTGTTCCAGTTTTCTTTTGTACTTTCTTCCTCTCCAAGACTTCCATATTTTTTCTCGCTCTGCCGTGTGGTCGTCCGTGTGAAAATTTTTCGCGACATTCCGGGCCTATCAAGTTGTCACCTCTTCACACCGCTCCTTTTCCCCATCCTTCCGGCGTGCACTCTCCGTGGTTCATCTTGTGGAGTGCCTAGTTCAGGCATACGAGCCTAACCACAAACTCGTTAACTCTGCCATTTGCTTCCTTAGTCACAATTCGGCAAGACTGGGCCCCGGTTTTTGTAAGAATGGTTAAATTTGGGTCTAGACTTCGAAGGTGTGAATGGAGACGGACGGATAATGCACGAGCTACCTTAGCCTTACTAGTACTTGGCCTACGACTAGATCCTTACTTATGTAGTGTCTTTGTATCATGATCCGATCACGCGAGGCGTCTGATGCGGTGGCAGCAACTCTCCGGATTTCCCACTATGACTATCCTTACTTTAACGCAGGAGACTTCCTTTATAGCAGCGAGGTTTTGCAGCTTCCCTTTCACGTGTTCCTACACTGCTCCATACAGAGAGCACTGGTCTGGGGACACCATGCCGCTATTTTTGCGATAATCTTTAGTTTTGAGTACAGGGGCGGTCAGGCTCTGGGGGTAGACTAGTGCCGGAGAGCAATACCAGATGAGCCAGATTGTAACCCCGCCACCGTGAGGGAAGCAATATATATAGACTAACGTGTACCCCCCCATACTGTAAACTGGATTTATTACGAATAGCCAGAGACCATTGGCCTGTGCCTATCTGTTCCCACTGAGTATATAAATGTATCTGGCATTGATCCATAAAAATTTGTCAATCATTGCAAACCGAAATGCCTTAATGCCAGAGTCTCAGAAACGCTACGCGCGATAATACATGAAAGAAGATAGGTTTCGCTCGGTTATACCAACCGCATATTTCTTTGTTTTCACAATTATAGTGAACTAATAAAGTCTCAATACAGTTTCTCGCTCGGGGTTATTTTTCACGCCCAAACCCAGCCGCCTCGAGGTAGCCGAGGAAAAAAGTTACTTACGGCTTGAGTCATTTACGAGGGCAGCCGAACCTGCTCTAGCATAGACTGGGATAGTCATAACCACGTGTGCCGCCACCCGTGAAAAATCCTTTAGCTACGCCACTGTACTCCCCTAACCCAACCGACCCTTACCTCCATTCATTCAGACAGAATCACGCTCAGTAAACGTCATCGCTCAGACTCACGATGGTTTAATACGGGTGGTTTTTGGGCGGGCCCCCTCCCCCCCCTCCCCCTCTTTATGGACCGTTGAAGTAATAATAGTGTAGAATTGTAACACTGACTAGGATAGAACACTTGGCAGCAGAGAAGGAGCTCACATGGGCAGTAGCACGTAAAGCAGTTCCCTTATCGAGCAGCGGGTGCAATCACTCGTCAGTGCAATAACCTTCTACGACTTTTTAATTAGTCGATAGCCTTATTAGTGAAAAGGGTCTAGGTCGCGTTTAAGGTGATACATCTTGGATCGCGTCATGAATTGAATTACAGTGTCTGTTGATTCCCGAAGCCTTTGTTCATATAAATGGGATAAGGTATGTAATTGACGTATTTGAACTCAAGTTTTTTTACCACATGGGCCTTATTATTCTTTTGATTAGCAAGCCTAGCCTCCTAGCGTTATAATAGAAAACTTTACTTCAACTTGTAACATTTAACTGCGTTATAATATAGCAATAATGCGTATTTCGGGCAATGGTCATTCGTCGAATGTTTACCAATGTTTTCCTCTGAGTCCCAATATACTCCTTTGATATTTTTGGTCCACAGATACTTACAATTAAATTATTACATCATTCAACGCTACGGAAATATGAACGCTGCGCAGCAGTTGACACCCATGAGCGCAACTTTCCGTAGCTTGCGACCCTGAAAAAGTAGCCTGCCCGTATTTTGGCATTTTATATTGCTTAGCTGTATATAATCGACGAGGGGGCTAATCACAAAATGGTCGCAGACATGACTATTTTAGTGGTCCTTAAACTGCTCATTTACGGCTTACAGACCGGCAACGATATTTCACTCTTTAGGGCAAGAATTTATCCATATTTTAACTGAAACTATATGTCGTTTATAAGATATTACAATTCTTTTGCTTTTAAATGGATAAATAAGAAACACCCTCGGTCTGTAGCCCTTGGTTGGAAAGTGGTTTTGCGCAACTTATCAGATCATGCGCTTTGAGTGGCGCCACCGTCGTTGTAATCAAACTGTAGTCGTTAGTTTTAAAACATTTTTTAAAAATATTTCTAATGGTGATTGAACCATGAAACTTTTTATGTAGCGCAATTATAACCTAAATTAGCTGAAAATAACCCTAGAACCTAGAGGCTACTGTTCCTATAATGATAAACAAAATACTCTACGACATAACCTGTCGATTATTATATTACAGAAAATGAATCAAGAAGTTATAAAACATCTGATAGCATATAATAAGCATACTAGCACTGACAACTGAGAACAAAACTAGACGCGATAGGTACAATTATGATATGCACACAATGATATACATTTCGCTCTGGTCAGCTTATTATGTCACATAGTCCTTCAAATATGCTGGACGGTGGCGCTCCCTCGCCCGATGCACCTTGGATGAACTGTCCAACGGTCTCTCCTCCGTCTGGCTGTTCTGATCGGATTCTACACGTGTCCCCTCATTCTCTCCAGTAGGATCCGGAATGACATCCCCATCACTTTCTGAACCGGACATGTCCTGTGACTGGTATCTGGCATCCACTGCCTTGAACCTGGATATATTTCTGGTCACCGGTTTGGAGCCATGCGTAGCGGTCACCATATCACCTTTACGTTTCACTACCTCGTGTAACTTAGGGTAATACGGTGGATCCAGCTTACGCGGATGTGGATCCTGTAGTATGACAGCGTCACCTACACAGATATCCGACTCGCATGCTCTCCGTCGTTTGTCCGCATATCTCTTCATTCTGTCCTTTGCATTTTTGTCACTGAGCAGCACATTTTTGTGAATATCCTCTTTTGAGAAACTCTGAATGCTGGGTAACTCTGTTCTGATATTCCTGTGGAATAGAGCTTCTGCGGGTGCTACTTTTGTTGACGAATGGGGTGTAGCCCTGTACTGTCTGAGGAATTTCCACAGTTCCTGCTTCCACGGTTTCCTCTGAGACTCTGAGGTATGCAGATTCTTCTTCAGCGTCCTCATGAACCGCTCTGCCTCGCCGTTAGCCTCTGGCCACTCCGGCGTGATCCTCCTGTGTTTGAATCCAAGGTAACCAGCAAACCCACGGAAATCGCTACTATTGAAAGGAGGGCCATTGTCCGTCTTCACCACTTCGGGAATGCCATGGCAGGCAAAGATCTTGTCGAAGTGGGGAATCGTCGACCGAGCAGATGTGCTGTGGGTGATCTCTACAGCTGGGTAACGGCTGTATTCGTCAACGACCACTAACAAATATTCACCCGTAGGCAGTGGGCCACAGAAGTCCGCAGACACATGAGTCCACGGCTGCTCGGGACATTTGCTCATCTTCAGAGGTGCTCTGGTGTTTTCTCTTGTGCTCACTTGACAAGGGAGACAGTGTTTCACTTCTGCTTCAACCATCTTGTCTATCCCCGTGAACCAAACCTTACTCCTCAGCAAAGCCTTTGTCTTGACTACTCCTTGATGTCCAAGGTGTGCCAGTTTCACTACTTGGCTCTGTAATGCTGCCGGTATTACTATTCTGTTCCCTCTGAGCAAGATACCGTTCGACGTCACACACAGGTCTGCTCTGACGTTCCAGTACGGCTTCACCCGTTGATCCTCGTCTACAAGTAATTTGTATAACTCTCCTGACTGCACAACGTTTATGACACTAGTCAAGACGGGATCTTCCTCTGTCGCCTTTTGTACTTGCTCAATAGTGATAGCTTGAGGCATGGCATGTGACAGCACAAAGTTCACATACTCCTCTGTCACTCTCTCATCACGATCTGATTCGACTGGTATCGGATGGCGTGACATGTAGTCAGCAGGATTCGTCTTTCCGGGAGAATACTTGACTGTGAGCGAGTAATCCTTAAGGTTGACTAACCATCTTTCAATTCACTGGAAGCTTGGAGTGTGGATTACCGAATATGGCTTCCAACGGCTTGTGATCGGTGATAACATTCACTGGTTTGCCATAGAGATACAGGCGAAAATGATCACATGACCACTTGATTGCGAGAGCCTCTCTTTCCGTCTGAGAGTGCCTTTGCTCCACCTCCATTAGAGCGCGGCTTGCGAATGCCACTATCTTTCCTTTCTGGGTCAGCATCGCACCAAGTCCGACTGGGCTTGCATCTACGATCAGATCGGCTTTCTCTTCGGTATTGAAAAATGCCATATCATCAGCATTTATTAAGCTGTCCTTGAGGTGCTTGAATGCTGTAGTCTCAGTGTCGCCCCATCTCCAAACAGCATCCTTCTTGGTGAGCATCCTGAGTGGTTCAGATAC